GGCCTGCTTTGGAACCTTCCCGTCACAACTGGTTTCGGATTGGAGGTCCAGACATCAGCTGGATCTCGTTCCCGACGCAAGGGGGACTTGTAAGGAGCTTCAGGTGCTAACTCTAACCCGGGGAAGCGACTCAACCATCCTTGCAGCACTTTTTCACCGTGGAGATTCCTCAAACTCTCCGCCTGCGCACGCACAGCTCCGTCCAACTTCGTGAACACTCGGGTCCACTCGTCGTAGGATCGGGGTTCCTCCCTTCCGGTAACAACCTGTAGAGGCAACCAGGGAGCTACCCCTTTCTTGAGGTATGTTACCAGAGCCTCGTCGTTAAACCCGGTCAAAGGAGCGTATTCGTTGAAGCGAATGAAGAAGTTGGCGAAGCTTTCCTCCGGCATCTGCTTCATCCAGGCTAACCTCCTCCTTGCCTCGTCCGCCTCGTCGATGGGTCCGAATTTGGAACCGAACTCTCGTTTGAATTCTGTCCAGTCTTCGAGACAAGTGTACTCCCCCCTCAGTCATTGCCGATTCAACGTGTCGAAGTGGGAGAGTGCTGCACCAGTGAGATGACTAGCTGCGGAAGCGCACTTGTCCTTTTCCCGAGCATAGATGGTAGGTCGTACTCCAAACATCCTTTCCAAACTGAGGACCCACGTCTTCCATGCAGACCGGTCGTCACCTGCGAAGCTTTCGATCTTACCGACGTCGAGCTTCGACTCAATGGTAATCCGATTTTTTTCTTCGTTGCTCTCCCACGTACTTCGTCCCTCGTTGAGAAGTCTAGGAGCTGCCTTACGGTGCCAACCTTGTCTTGGATCGTAGTACCAGGGTTGGTCCGGGTCATAGCGTGTTGGAGGTACTTCAGGAGCTCTCCTCTGTCCTCCTCTCTCCTTCCACCATTCCTACTCAATTGGTTCTGTTCCCCCTTGTCGGAACCTTCCGAATTACTATCACCCGGTCCCCCGGAAGGTGGTGGAGGAGGAGGAGGCGGAGGTGGTGCCCCTCCCCCGCTCCTTCCTCCCTGTTCTCTTTGACCCTGTCCCCCTTGACTCAGAGGTCGTTCTCGATCTCTCGATTGACTAGAAAAATGTGGGGGAGGTACTCTAGGAGGGGGGTTAAAACCGCCTTTGCCTCCTCCCTCGTTTTCCAACGCGTACGCTCCTCCTTCTGGTCTCCCATACTCCCCTAGTTCAGCTCTTTGCACTCGGGCTCCCCACTCGTGAATACGTCGTCGGTCCACACTCGGAGTATCCGGGATCTGTCCTGCTTGTTCTACCTGGGGGTTTCCATCCTTAGCTCCTGTAGGAGTGTTTCGGTTAAAGGATATTGGTTCCGTAGCTTGCCAGCTCCTTGGCTGGGGAACTACAGGAGAAGGACCCCCCCTCGTATATTCTCTCATTACCCTAGGTGCTCGCCCGGATAATCCCGCCGTGTTTCCTGTTTTGGAAAGGGGTCCTCCAGTCGGTACTTCCCCCGCTGTGAATCCTTTCTTTGCCTCACGGAGTTGTTCCTGGAGCGTCTCAATGACCCGAGCCTGTTGTTGGATCATTGCTACCAATTCCTGAGAGCGTGCCGACTCGAAAGTCATGCCAGGTCGGTTCATCTGAGCTCCCGTTACAAAGGGAGTTCCAAAAGGAGCTCCCTGCGGGGGTACCGCCTCTTCGTGAACTGCCAACGTTCTTCGTTGGTTCGGACCCCTTTGACTTTCCGTTCCCACTGCCTGAGATTGCATCGATACCGACCCTTGATACGGAATGACTGATGGATTGTTCAGTCTGGGAGGAACGTGTACAGGGTTGGGAGCCAACCGAGCTGTCAGATCTTGTCCGGAGATCCGGGATGAATGTTGTGCGCCATCCATCCTCACCTCACCAAATTGGTATCGCTGCGTCGAGACTGGGGTTAAAGGTTTTGTTTGCAGGTTAACTCTGGGGGGAGGAGTCGCATTTTGAGCCAAGGCATGTACAGTGGGGGAGGTCCCAGAGCGTAACTGGGGGCTCCTCGTGGCCGTGTTACCGGGTTTAAGGAGTTCAGGAACCTCGGTATTCCTGGGCGATGAATGTTTCTGTGCCAGGAAACGACCATCAGATCCATGGAGCTGCCCTTTCTGGTCAAATTGCTCCGGAGGGAACTCCCCTACGCTTTCGAGTTCGCATTGAACCATATACGAGGTTCCCCGATTATCCGCGACCAGTCTGCGACGGAATTCCAAAGCTCTTTCTAGATTCGATCCAGAAAGTTCCTCCGACAGCATCAGAGTGTCTGATTCCGCTAGTAGCGTCCGGTGTCGGGTCTCCTGCGAACACAACATCGCTTCAGACTCCTCACTTCTCACCAGAAGCTGGTGCATATGCCTCATGGGCGTGTACGTGTATACCGTCTGTCCGTTACGGACCCGGACGGGACTATCCTGATCAGGCATTGACTCCACTGGGGCCAGGAGGTGAGCCGTGGTGTATCTCCTGCGTCTACGATTTTTTGCAGCAATTGCGTTAGCATCCTCGTTACTTTCCTCATCGATTTTAGCTGCTGCTTCCGTTAGGTTTGCGTTCCGAAGTATTTGGATCGCCTGGTAGTTCGGTATGTTAACCCTCGAAGGGGGAGGTTCAAACCGTACGGCTCCTGATCTGTAGTTAGAGGCTCGGTACAATATACGTAGCCCTGCTTCGCCACAGAATTCCTTCTCCCTTCCATGGGTATGAGGGAGGAGGGGAAGTATTCCCCTCGAGTTTCGGAACGATCGTCCGTAACGTGCCTCTGCCTCTAACAGTTCTAACATCCTCTCTGGGTCCAACAGGACGTTGTACAGCCAGAGAAAATCTGATCGATTCGCGGGGGTCATCAGCCACTGCTGGGCCTTCTCTGGGAGGTCTATCTCCAGTTGAGTTCCCACTGTTAGGAACTGTACTCGTAGGTCTGAGAATTCGAGACCGTCTCCCAATATTTCGATCCCCATTGACTCCAATACCTCCCTTAGGACCATAGCTACATCCTCCGGGATACACTCCTGAATTCGAATGACGTCTTCCAGACGCAATGTCATTTCGGACAAGGGTTGTACGGGGAAGTTGGTCCTGCTATGGTGTATTGCGTGTGTACGCTCCCAGTTGGGCGTATTCATAGCTGGGCTCTTCAGGAGACTGGAGAGTGAACTTCCTCGTCTCGGGGGAGGAAGGTTAAGGGACTGTACTGGAGGTGTTGGTAACCTCCGGGATGACGTCCGAGATTGTTCGGATACGGCAGGGGATACCCTCCTCTCTGGAAGTTTCTCCTGTTGTCGTACTGTGAGAGGGTCAGTACTCCCCCCTTGTATCCTTTCGATAGCGGCTACTTGACCGCTGACTCTTCCACCCGCGTTCGAAGCTGACTCCATGTCTAGCTGCGGTATCGGTCCAGGGGGAGGTCCTCTCGTTCCCCAGGTAGGGGAGTATGCGAAACCTCCCATGGGACTACTGGCAGGTTGGGCGTAACCCATGGAGGTAAACCTCCGTTGTGGTGGTCCCATCCCAGGTTCCACTGGAGGGGGCCCCTGAACCTCCGGTTGACGTCCCTTTGGGGTCCGGATGTTGCTGGCGGTTTCATCCCCGAACGACTGTTCTGGGATGGACATCAGGCGTTGACCAGCTGCCACCGTGATGACAGTGGAGCTAGCAGCCTGGTTCGATTTTTGAGCTTGTGTCGTGTTTCCACGAGATAAGGCGCTCTTTTGTTTCTTTGATTCGGTCTTGGAACTAGAAGGTCGTTCCGTTGACGTCGCCGACATTTCGTCGCGACGAGTCCGTTCGGTGACGGGAGAGCTTGGTATAATGTAAGACCTGGGTTAAAATGGGTCTTAGGGTAGGTTTGGTATATGAAGTTTTATGTTGTAGCGTGCTAGGAGCAGGCTGGAGCTCGAAGGGAGCTACGAGAACCGCGACCGAGGACGAGAATGACCTAGTAGTGTCTGGAACGACGAGATGATGACCCTTGAGGGGGTCCCTAGGAGGTCCAGGGAGGTCCCTAAGGCGTAGGGAGGTTAAGGAAGAGTGCGGGACCGTACAGTATTGCGTAGTAGGAGTTGTACTCGCTAGAACGTCAATATAGGATCGAGTAGGTCGTATATGCAACTGGGTCTCGAGAGTGTAAGCTCCCGAGAAGGGATATGTCAGGAAGGGTAGGTCCCTGGGGGCTGAGCTTGAGGATGGACGTCCTCGAGTGTGGGAGGTGGTAACGGAGAAGCAATACGTAGTCCAACGTGAGGGGTAGCTTCGACGTTACCTAGATCGAGGTCCTGAAGCTTACGAAGTAGCTAGGGAGCTTTGGGAAGTTTGGGGAAGGGTAGCTCACCAAGGCGGGTAGGCGTTGGGGAGCTTTAGTAATGTTCGAGGGAGCTTGGGGACTCACTCGGAAGGCTTAGACTTGAAGTGAAAGCGTATATTCGATCGTATAGATGATCAGAGAGACAATAGACAGAGGTAGAGAGAAACAGACGTAGAGAAACAGAGAGTAAAGAGAAATCTGTATGGTTAGCAGGTACAAAGGGACAGGGACTGGACCTATGCAAAAGGGTGTGTGTTCAAAATATACCAAGCTGGGGCTTCGGGACATTGCGGCGTTACTTAAATAGGTACGGGAAGTGAACAAGAGAACATCTGGAGGCATGAGGTAGCTAATCGGAGGGAGGGAGGTAATCGAGATTAATACTTAAAGGGGTTATCGGCTAGAGGGCTTTCGTACGCGTGTCGGGGTGAAGGACGTTTGGGTAGTGGCGTCAGAAATACTTGGGGAGGTGTCTGGTGGTACTTGGGGAGGTGCGGAGGGCATACAGGAGGTGGGTAGGACGTATGGTAACGTGTGGTAGTTACTGGGACTGGTCTGGTTGTAGCCAGGGCATGACAGTTACTCGAGCAAAAAAAAGATTCAACATATTCCCAGCCTTGTGCGAAAGTTCGGGAATACCAGCTAGATCCTCGATACTAGGGAACGCGACTATTTTTTTGGGGTACCTGAGCATATAGCGGTCGTACTTACTCTGTGTCTGGATGGGCAAGGTTAAATTCTTCAATAAAAGGAAGCCATAAGAATGGAAATGAATGTCAGATCAGATTTTTGAAGGTGGTAAATACTTACTGACGACAGCATAATTTTGGAAGCAAGTGTCGGGCCTGGCCAAGGAAGGAATGCCGTGGTTAGGATCATATAGTAGATATCGATATCTCGAAACTGTGAGCAAAAATGTGTGATCAGCATTCGTTTCTCAGTTTAATAGTAATTACACGAGTAGACATTTACCTTTTCCGGAGGTTGAAGCATCCACACTCGGCTTTTGGATACTCGGCTTCTGGATAGGCAAGGCAAAACAAAACGCGGTTCCGTATGGTGTAATCTCTTTCAAGCCCTTCCCATTCGCGACCAAAACCGCAGTGGCTTCACATGTGAAGAAGTATAATGGAATTAAATCATTCAAGGGTTTTTGAGGATAAACAGCTGCAGTCTTGGACTAATGATTGCCAGTGTGGTTTAAACGATCGTGAAGTCTACAAATATGTGCCTGAGCTCACCTGGCTTCCGTGGGACGTCAATCCATTTGAGTTTTGCATCAGAGGGATTGCATTAAGCGTAGAGATACCCAAAAAGAAGAAGTATAGGTATAGCAAAACGGGATGTATAAAGCTTGAAAATATCATGTTGGAACGAACAAAGCGGAGAGAGAAGTTATGTTGAACTTGAAAAATTTGCAAGCTTGATATGATCTGCAGGATATGCATGTTGGTGAGTATATTGTCAATGCACTTTCATCCGGTGGTGCTACTCACTACCAAGGAATGCGGAAAGCGACCAGCGCAAGGGGAATGTTGATTGCTCAGTACGGTCTAAATCTCTTTTATGTCCATGTAGCCGTAGGTAGCCGCTCGTAGCTGTCGGCCAAACTACACTGCTGGACAGAATTCGACGATTTTCTTATGGATGCGCCCTCTCAAGAATTTTGAATAAATTCTTAAGAAATTCCTGAGATAGAGGAGCGCCCAAATGTGTAGAAATTCTCAAAAGTAACAATTCTCAAGAATCACGAAGAGACTCTTAAGAATATCTTCTAATTTTTGAATATACCTCGCGCGCGCATGTCACGGAATCCCGGAACCCGGTATAATAATGATATCAGAATTATCAGACCACTTTTATTTTCGGAAAATTTTGCTCGTAAAATGTACCTACAGTACTACATGCCATGTTTACTATGCATACTGTTATTAGGAGTATAGTCAAATTATTACAAAACTTAATGGGCAAGATCTTGACTCTTGAACTGAGTTGAATATTGACTCTTGAAGTTTGAGGCTCGGGGGCAAAGGTTGAGGCAGCTTTGAATTTGACGACATTGAGTCTAAATCACTTGTTGGTGAATCAGAAAATATTGGCACCAGTTGTGTGTGTGATCATGGCCTGTTGCAGCATGTTGTCATCAAGAGCTTGAAAGACATTGAGGACTGAAAGTGTGCACGTTCGCTCAAAGTCAAGCTGGTGGAAGTTGGGAAGGAAGGAATACCAGCACAAAACTGCCAGCGCAAGGTTGTGTAATCACCGTCAGCTGACAAGAAATGCGACTTGGGACATTTCATGAAAGTGGCTAGTCAATATTCCTAAGAGTTTTGGGTTTTGTCATGATGTCTCTCAATAATTTCTCAAGAATCAAGGATAGTATATAATTTTCAGCAATATTCTCAAGATTTGCACTCTTATAGATTTTGAAAACTCGATTCTGACAAATTACTCAAAGTTTGGTGCAGCAGTGTAAGAGTCATTCTCACGTCTTATAAGGTTTGCCAATGGAGACCGTTGGACGCAGACAGGGACCTACAGGGACAGATGCAGAAGAAGATCAGATCATAAAAATTGGATGACTTCCCCAGTCCCATCATGCACTATAGTACTACAGGCCCCCGGAAGCTCCCCTAGAACCCTGTCCGGAATTGTGTATTTCAGAGGCCAAAATCAGCCATTTTCTTGTCCAAATATAGCGTAGATTGAAGCTCAATAGGTCAGTTCTTGTCCGGTATAGTGTAGTCCAGAAGCACCAAAAGCAAAATTGAAAATTATATATTTTGAGTACTTTACACTGCCATTTTTGGAAATTTCAGGAATTTTTTTTGCAATTCACATGATTAACCTTGTCCATTATAGCGTATCTTAGGCCGAAAACATTGCGTAGTTTACAGCATTTTCCCGGACAGGGTTCTGGTAGAGCTTCCGGGGGCCTAGTACTACAATTCAACCACCATCTCTCTGGCACTTCACAATTTTTTTTTGCCGTCCTCGCCTTCTCAAACACTATAGCTTTCATACTACTATATATCAAACCCGTCTACTGGATGCTACTCGCCTACAAGCCAGCTTCTGACTCCAACAGTACCCCCGGGGTTGAGAAAGTCCTCACTAGCCCCTCTTCAATCTCACTTGGAAAACCAAACATTCTCCCTCAATTCCACACCATAACTTCTTTTACCTCTCAATGCAGTCCTCTTCTCCCTTTGCAGAAATCTCCCCTTTTCTCCACAGACAACTTCCTGTCCATGGGTGATGTTAACTGGCTTGAGGACCCATTGGGCCCCTATCACCCCAGGAATTCCTTTGACATTGATGACACTGATGGAGTCAGCCTGGGCTCACTGTTAAGTCCATGCCTCGGTACACCATCTTGCTGCTCGGTATTCCGAGATCTACCGTTTATTGTAATCTCATCTTTATTGTTCTTTCTCGCTACACATTTCCTTTTTGCTTAGACTCTTCCTTATTGTTTTATCCTTTCCTTTTATTGTCTTATTCCCTATCCTGCAGGTACTACACGTATAGCTCCTAGTAGTTAGTCTGGCACTCCGCACCGATGCGCCAATCCGTAGATATAAATACTGCCTGTACGCTACTGTAGTTCCTCAGTTTAATTATCAATTTAGATCTCCTTTCCAACTTAGACTCTCCTCTCCAACTTAGTCTTCAGGCTCATTGCCTTGAAGTACTCTCTACTCTATCCTCAGGACTAATAAGTTCTTTGGGTTTGCTCTGACTTGGCTGCTCCTGGCTCTCTTCTTCTCTACTCTTGATTTCTGGGGACTAGCAGTGTAACAGCGGTGTTGTTCATAACTTCACTACTGTCCCATTTGACGTTCTGCTCTTAGACACCTTGTGGCCTCTGGCACAGTTACACGGTGTACATGATCTTAACACCTGCTCTCAAGCACAGGCAAACCTCTGGGAGACGAGGCCTTCAGCCTGGAACTCACCTCTTACAACCAACCAAGCGGCATTGACCAAGCTAACATCAGAGTCAGTGAGGCCCAACCTCTGCCTCCTCACCCAAACCAGTACTCCCTTGCACCTGCCATTACATTCAACTCAAGTTGTTTATCTCCTCCCGCCCTAAATCCAATTTCCAACTGGCAATCATCCCCCTCAACAATGCCAATGGTGCAATCCACTTTCAAAACTCTGGACACTCTCCCCAACCCCCTCATCCCATGCATTCTCCTCTCAATTGCAAGAGTGTTTTGCAACTGCTGGTGGCCTTGTGGTGTCTAAACCTGTTCCGAAAGGGGTGTCCTCCTCTAAGCCACTTCAAAGCTACCAGAATGTCCAGCTGGCCAAGATGGTTGCTTCACCTCTGCTCAGAAAGGGAAGAAAAAAGTGCCGATGACTATTTAGAGAGAATTGTTGGTTGGAGTGCCCATTTGATTCCTTCCTTTCTCTTTCACACAAAAATGAGGCAAGCTCATTACCGATGTCCTGAGAGGAAGCCAACAGAAGACAAGACAGGGAGATAGTCATCACTTACTTCGTTGAGCTGTCCACCGTTTGCCACTGCCTTCCACTTTTCGAGGTGAGCCACTTTGTCTTGTATAGAGATGAGCTTGGAGAATACTTGTTAGAGAGCGACAAGCAGTAAGCAGTGTAATACACATCTTGTCTGAAGACTGTTGCAGAACTGACTGACTGCCCACACCCGAATCTCAAAGTTTGAGGATCACCTCCTCCAATTCCATGACCTCAAGTCAGACTTCCCAGTATTGGCGATAATATAGATGATTCTCCTTCAGTGAAATGATATTGTCCATTTCTTGATTCTGAAATCTCTCAACCGTAAACATGCATTGGTGGAAGCTGATGGATAAACAGCACATACAAGGATTGTCTCAAAATCATCTTCTAGTTCATTGACCCGATGACACGCCTAAATTTTGGCTAGACATCTATGCTGTGAATTGTGACATTTTCACGTATAGATTTGTATCAAGAGGACTGTAATTGAGACCTAGATTGACAGTCAAAGTCAATACTGAATCAGTCTAATAAGTTGAAGGGACCATATACCCATACTACCACAAGTTGGTTAGTTTACCCATCCCCAATACTACCTTCGGATAACAGTCTACCTGTTTGTCAAGCAGGATTATACCAGATTCGGACTACATCCGAAGGATGACCATTCACGTATGACATACCAAGGGTATTCTTATTGGACCTTACACTGGCAGGAGTTTGGAAGAACTTACTCAAGTGACCATGAGCCGAGGATTGACTCGAAATGACTTTCTAGAACTCAGGAATTATCAAATACTCCTTCTAGAACGAGATCATGCATTAATCTAAAAGACTGCGATTTAGTCTAATAGACCAATCAGGTTGCATGGTTGAGGAAAATGACTAGAAGAACGATCAAAGTATTGCGAGGCTCCAAAGACATATCAAATGAATGTCAAAGAGTTCTGACGTAGAAAATATTGAAGAATGCAATTAAATGAATACTATGCGTAACTCCCTTGATAAGAGTATAGGCACAATGGGTGTCTGTTGAAAGAGAGAAGCAATTAGTTTAATCCAGATGAATCAGATTGATAGGATTAGAATCGAGGAGAGCTGATTTGCCTCCGGACGAGGTGACAAACGATCAAAGTAAGTGTTGAACAGCAATGACAGTTGAACACCATTCGAGTCATTCTCCAAAAACAATTAAATTAAATGAATAACGAAGTACCTACCTATGTTTGGAGGTATACTTGAATCTTGGAACCATTATGGACCAAATAAGGACATGTAGATTCAAATTAAATGATATCAGACCGAGTGTAGAAGTTTCCTTGCAGTTCCGAACATTTATTGTATTAAATTAATTGTACTGTGCGACTCTATATTCTGTATGTATAAATAGCAATCCGATGTATCTGGAATACAAGTGATTTTGGGATGACGCTGCAGTGCTAATCCGTAAAAAGGAAAGACACACTCCCGCCAGACTGAAACCTCTTCGCTAGCAGCCATTCGGGCCCGGCACTTGTGAGTATAGGAACGTCGTGTTCTGCTCCTTGTGACTGCGAGAAGTATATCCAGTTGTTGGGTATTCTTCGAACTTAGGATCAGTTGTTGGTCTTAAGGGCAAATCACACTGTGTGGTTGTGCCAGCACATAGTTCTAGCCCTCCATAGGGGTCTGTGTGTTTCGGTTTAATTTACTTTGATTCAAACCCCCAATTCTTGATATACCCATATCAATACAATCAAAGCACAAACCGTGCTGAATCCACCTTGATCAAAGGAATATATTGAATCCTTAGAACGATTCAAATTGATTGATTAAAGCTTCTTACTTAGCTCTCAAAGCTTTGCGGAACCTTTGCCAATGCTACCCCTTGCTATTAAATAAATTTGATAGCAGTGAACTTGCATATTGTGTATTAGATTGGTTGGTTGGAGTGCCCGTTAGATTCCTTCCTTTCTCTTTCACACAAAAACGAGGCAAGCTCGTTACCGAGATTCAAGCTGAGCATTTCTCAGACATAACATTTCAATTTTATCTTTGTAGTTTCCATTTTGCATGATACAACAAGCTTTCTAAGATCATGGAAAGCAATAAGGGAAGGCACTGACTTGAGACATATAGACAAAGTTACCATGTAAGGGAAATAATCCTCATCGTTGCTCCAAGGAACACTGCGTTTGAGTTGTGGAGGCATAAGAGAGCTATTGATACCAAGTCCTGAAAAGTTCAAGCACAAGTTTATAGTGGAACCAATGGTCATAGCTCAATGGTCTGCTATGCTTGATGGCCTCAAGATGGAAATCCAATAGTGCAGGGTAGAGTTGGGACCATCATTAATGATCATAGTACTAGTACATGAACAAAGGTATTGTCAGTTTGGCTGTGAGCTTATGTAATTTCTTGCACTGAAGAGAGCTATAGTACTGGGTATATTGCAACGCCCCGATGGCACTGCCTGGCACTGGCAGGAGGCTCCAGTGGCTCCCAGCTCATAATACATCATTCCTTACTATCTCTAGATCCTCACTAGAGATTGTTCACAAATTGAGCAAAAATTTCATTGATCATGACACATTTCAGTCTTCACTACTTTGTCATGTTTATTCTATACCAAATTCATATGTTCGACAACTACAGATTATACCACACCCTGATCAAAATTGGAGTGAGATGTACTGGTAGGAGAGCCAAATCCTGTACTTACCAAATTGAGACAGACTACTTGAGAGGAATTTAATGCCTAACACAATCAAGAACAGCAGGTGAATCAACTGGTGTCCAGGAGAAGGCATCTAATGGCTGAGTCATGCGCTGCAAAAAAGATATAGTTGGATATGGCAAATAGGCAAGGAAAAATATACATAGCTTACCAAATCAATCAGTTGATAGATTAGAATCTGTTTGACATCTCGTTTAGGTAGTTGCAAGGGGACTCGATTGAGGTCTGCACAAACATATAGCAATGCATCAACACCTTCGACATTCAAACCCTTGGCTAGTTTCTCTTTCCCCACACTACTACTATTGTTGCACGGTGCCCACAGAAGTTGATGGATATGACCGACACCTGTTGCAGAGTGCCAATTCATTTTCCTTGCTGTAGCCTGCATCATTCTTTTCTGTTCAGTATTGGTCAGTATATGACAAGCAACATTGCCATGAAATGCAAGAGATAGGACAGGAAATGCCCAAGGTGCCTGAGGAGGAGCAAACATAGTAGGTGTGAAGTGTGGCCAGACAAAAGCATGATCTTGTTAAGATCATGTATACCGTGTAACCGTGCCAAAGCTACAAGGTGCCTAAGTGCGGAAGACGAGTGGGACAGTAGTGAAGTTATTAACAACACCGCCGTTACGCCGTTAGTCCCCGGAGAGCGAGAGTAGAGAGAGAGGAACTAAGTAGCAGCCAGGTCGGAGCGGCGGTATCGCCGGTGACGAGGAGCGGACCAGAGAACGTTAAAGTCCTAAGGTCGAGGAGAACGTACTTCAAGGCGTTGAGCCTGAAGACTTAGAGAAGAGTTAAGTTGAGAAGGGAGATCTAAGTTGATCTAAGTTGATAATTAAACTGAGGAACTACAGTAGCGTACAGGCAGTATTTATATCTATGGATCGGCGCAGCGGTGCGGAGCGCCAGACTAACTACTAGGAGCTATACGAGTAGTACCTGCAGGGTAAAGTAAAAGACAATAAGGAGAGACTAGAACGAAAGGGTAAAAGACAATAGTGAGAGACTAGAACGAAAGGGTATGTGTAGCGAGAAAGAACAATAAGAGTGAGATAACAATAAGAGCAGATCTTCGGAGTACCGAGCGGCGGCATGGAGGCCCGCGGCATGGACTTGACAGATCTTCATGAATATCATTCAAACGCTACAATGTATTCAACTAGAAGATTATGTCAATATTGAGACCCAACTATAGCTACCCATTCGACAAGTGCCTCTATCATGTTATCTTTTGTAATATCATTCTTTGTTATCAACTCCTTTCTCACAATTCCACCCAAGATTTGGATGGGGAACACTATGAGGTCATTACAGACATACAGTAAAGTCCCCCACTTCTTGCTCTTCAGCCTCAAACATAGTTGTGTTTGCAACAAGTCTGAAGAAGGACGCAATGAAGATAGAAGATGATGTATCTCAATCAATTCCTGCTTATAAGTATTGATCTTGACCAAAAGGTTTGACATCCATTGGTGGCAAAAATGCTGTAAATCATTCGAAAGGTGCTCCTGTCAAGTCCATGCCTTGGGGCCCCATCCTGCCGCTTGGTATTCCGAGATCTACCGTTTATTGTAATCTCATCTTTATTGTTCTTTTTCACTACACATTCCCTTTCTACTTAGACTCTCCTTTATTGTTTTATCCTTTCCTTCTCCTAGTAGTTAGTTTGGCGCTCCACACTGATGCACCGATCCATAGATATAAATACTGCCTGTACAATACTGTAGTTCCTCAGTTTAATTATCAACTTAGATTATCCTCTTCACGTCCTTGACTTGAGACTCCCTCTGGACTCTTGTCACTCTCTAGTTTTCAGACTTGTTGCCTTGAAGTCTTCATCACTCTGACCTTAGGACTTACAAGTTCTTCAGTTCGCTCCTCATTGTCAGCGATACTGCCACTCCAACTTGGCTGCTCCTGGCTCTCTCCCTCTCTACTCTTAATCTCCGGGGACTAGCGGTGTAATGGCGGTGTTATTCATAACTTCACTACTGTCCCATTCGACCTTCCGCCCTTAGATACCTTGTGGCCTTTCGCACAGTTACATGGTGTACATGATCTTAACAGCTCCCACTCCAGTACTGCAATCACAAGATCTTCTTCAGCACTATCAATTGGTGTAATAGGGGTGGAATTCACGAGAGATAGTGGAGGAGGGGGAGTAAATTGGTAATAGTGTGATATCAAAGACACAGGCATTGTATTTTTGTTCTTGGGCTCCCTTGTGCTGCAAGGGTTGTCTAAGTGTAGTGCATCACAAAAGAAGTTTCCAAATATATTTTTTAGAGCATGCATGGGATTGATGGATACCTGTTTTGAGGGACTATAATAAGGCAATCACCAGAATTCTGAGAAGCGCACCCCATACAGGTGCTCTATTCTTTCACGCTCAGCATGTGTCAAGTCCATGCCTCGGGCCTCCATTCCGCCGCTCGGTACTCCGAAGATCTGCCCTTTATTGTAATTTCTTCTTATTGTTCTTTCTCGCTACACATACCCTTTTGTTCTAGTCTCTCCTTATTGTCTTTTACTCTACCCTGCAGGTATTACTCGTATAGCTCCTAGTAGTTAGTCTGGCGCTCCGTGTAAGACCTGGGTCAAAATAGGTCTTAAGGTAGGGTTTGGTGTATGAAGGTTTATGTTGTAGCGTGCTAGGAGCTCGAAGGGAGCTACGGGAACTGCGACCGAGGACAGGAATGACCTAGTAGTGGCTGGGGCGAAGAGATGGTGACCCTTGAGGGGGTTCCCAGGAGGTCCAGAGAGGTCCCTAAGGTGTAGGGAGGTTAGGTAGATAGACGGAACCTTGTAATATTGTGTAGTAGGAGTTGTACTCGCTAGAACGTCAATATAGGAATCGAATAGGTCGTAGATAGGATTGGGTCTCGAGGTTGTAGGCTCCCGAGAGGGTACACGCCCGGAAGGGGAGGTTCCCGGGAACTGGGCCTATGGAGGGACGTCCTAGAGTGTTGAAGGTAGTAACGGAGAAGCAATACGTGGTTCGACGTGAAGAGTAGCTTCGACGTTACTTAGATCGAGGTCCTGAAGCTTATAGAATAGCTAGGGAGCTCAAGGAGGTTTGGGGAGGTTAGCTCACCAAGGTGGTAGGCGTTGGGGAGCTTTAGTATTGTTCGAGGGAGCTCGGGAACTCACTCGGATTGCTTAGACGTGAAGTAAAAGCATGTATTGGATCGTATAGACGATCGCAGAGACGATAGACAAGAGTTGAGAGAAACAGAGGTAGAGAAATAGAGAGTAAAGAGAATTCCATATAGGTAGCAGGTACAAAGGGACAGGGACTGGACCTATGTAAAGGGTGTGTGTTCAAAATATACCAAGCTGGGGCTTCAGGACATTGCGGCGTTACTTAAATAGGTACGGGAAGTGAACAAGAGAACATCTGGAGGCATGAGGCAGCTAATCGGGGGAAGGAAGGTAATCGAGATTAATACTTAAAGGGGTTATTGGTTAGGAGGGTTTTCGTACGCGTGTCGGGGTGAAGGACGTTTGGGTAGTTGCGTCAGGAATACTTGAGGAGGTGTCTGGTGGTCCTTGGGGAGGTGCAGAGGACATACAGGAGGTGGGTAGGACGTATGGCAACGTGTGGCGGGTACTGGGACTGGTCTGGTTGTAGCCAGGGCATGACACTCCGCACCGCTGCGCCGTTCCGTAGATATAAATACTGCCTGTACGCTACTGTAGTTCCTTAGTTTAATTATCAACTTAGATCTCCCTTCTCCACTTAGCTCTTCTCTAAGTCTTCAGGCTCAGCGCCTTGAAGTACATTCCACTCGACCTTAGGACTTGAACATTCTCTGGTCCACTCCTCGTCATCGGCGTTACCGCTGCTCCAACCTGGCTGCTACTTAGCTCCTCTCTTTATACTCTCAATCTCCAGGGACTAACGGCATAACGGCGGTGTTGTTAATAACTTCACTACTGTCCCACTCGTCTTCCGCACTTAGACATCTTGTGGCCCTGGCACGGTTACACGGTGTACATGATCTTAACAGCATGGCTCTCTGCATCCTGCCATTTTTCTGCACCTTCACGGAGGTACTTGTCATCAATTGCCTCCCAGTCTTCATAATTCACCGAATTAAGGTAAGCTTTGTGCCACATTTGACAGGTTGCACAGTATGTATGTGAGCCTATGTCAATTAAGCCAGCAAAGGGATGTGATGCTTTAGCATCTATGGAGATATTAGCTAGAACTACACAATGTGTATGCTTATATGGTGTTTCTTGGTTGTCCGATGAAGCACATTAAATACCCCTAGTGTATGCAACTAACATCTCATCTACGATCAGTTGTAAATAGTGGTTGTATGCTCCTGCTCTAGCATCAGGTTCTCGGGGACCCTGTATGTGTCATGCCCTGTCCCTAAAAGCTCCCCTTGTTACCTTCCTAGACATCCCAGAACCGCTTATCAGCTCCTTTGCACCTCCCAAATAACCTCCCATGAAACCCCCATGAACCACGGAACCCTAGCCAACCTCCATCTGAAGCGACAGCCCCGCAACTTGCGTATGCTGCCGGACAATCCCCTATCAATTTAGCCTCATGGGTTCTGCACTTCACGCCAGCCCCATTAGATGCTCGTTTATTACAATGTCCCTTTACCTATTCAGCCCACCTATACAAGTATCCTTGGTAACATAAGCATCCCTAGCTTGGTATACTTTGAACACACACCCTTTTGCATAGGTCCAGTCCCTGTCCCTTTGTACCTGCTAACCATACAGATTTCTCTTTACTCTCTGTTTCTTTATCTCTGTTTCTCTCAACTCTTGTCTATTGTCTCTACGATCATCTATACGATCCAATACACGCTTTTACTTCACGTCTAAGCAATCCGAGTGAGTTCCCGAGCTCCCTCGAACAATACTAAAGCTCCCCAACGCCTACCACCTTGGTGAGCTAACCTCCCCAAACCTCCTTGAGCTTCCCAATTGCTCCACAAGCTCTGGGACCTCAATCTAGGTAACGTCGAACTATGTGTCGCTTCTCCGTTACCACCTCCAACACTCGAGGTCATCCACCTCTAACCCTCAGTTCCCAGGACCTCCCCTCCCGGGCGTATACCTTCTCAGGAGCTTATACACTCAAGACCTATTCTCTCTATGACCTATTCGACCTGACATTGATGTTCTAGCGGGTACAACTCCTCCTATGCAACGCTACTAGGTTCCGTACCTCTACCTCCTCTACCTACGCCTTAGGGACCTCCCTGGACCTTACAGGAACCCCTTCAAGGGTCACATCTCTCAATCCCAGCCACTACTAGGTCATTCCCGTCCTTAGTTGCAGTTTCCGTAGCTCCCTTCGAGCTCCGGCCTGCTCCTAGCATGCTACAACGTAAACTCCTCATACCAAAACCTACCCTAAGACCTATTCTGACCCAGGTCTTACATTATACCAAGCTCTCCCATCACCAAACGGACTCATCGCAACGAAATGTCTGCGACGTCAACGGAACCACCTTCTAGTTCC